TGATGACAGTACGAATTTATGGCACAGCAATGACCCCTGAGTTCTATGTAACACCATATCTTGTGACATTAAGAAAATCAAAGCATAGTGCGACGTCAACTATTTGTGTCTAAATATGGAAAAAACAAAAATACTAACCTTTATACACAAGGCTGGTAGAGTAGATACCTCCCTACCAAACTCTTATCGTCCAATCTGCCTAACATCCTTTCTTCTAAAAACACTAGAGAGGATTCTAGATAGGCACATTAGAGAAGGAGGTCTTCGGGCAAACCCGTTAAACTCCTCTCAATATGCCTACCAAGCAGGCAAATCGACAGATCATGCCCTGCACAATCTAGTAGGCAAAATCGGCCATTCCCTAAATCACGGGGAGATTGCGTTAGGTGCCTTCCTAGATATAGAAGGCGCGTTTAACAACGCCCTTCCTCAGTCTTTGTTCTCTTCTATTGAAAGAAGAGGAATCGACAAACTAACTTGTAACTGGAAAAGCATGCTGGCAAACCGGAACATCACTTCATCACTGCAAGGAGAGACTGTCACGTTCAGGCCTACCAGAGGATGTCCACAAGGCGGCGTACTTTTACCCCTACTGTGGACTATTCTGGTAGATAACCTGTTAGACGATCTCTCCCGACAGGGGGTGTATTTCCACTGCTATGCGGACGATCTGGTTATCATAATTAGGGGAAAGTTTGAAGAGGTGATCTCCAACATCCTTCAACAAGCCCTTAATACAATCAACAGATGGTGCGAAAGAGAGCAGATGTCTGTCAACCCCCGCAAAACTGTTATTGTCCTCTTCACCAAGAGAAGGAAGCTCGACAAGCTTCGACAACCTACCTTGGCTGGGGAAACCATTCCTTTTGCGGAGGAGGTGAAATATTTGGGAATCACCCTAGATAAGAAACTCACCTGGAACCCCCAATTGGAAAAAACCATTAACAAAGCCAGATTATCCCTCTGGACACTCAGAAGGATATGCGGCAAAGCATGGGGGATCAGTCCACAACTGATCTATTGGATCTACCAAACAGTGGTAAAACCCATGGTTACGTACAGCTCTGTCGTCTGGTGGGACAAGGGACTCCAACGGACGGCTAAAGCAAAGCTGGCTGGAATACAGCGGCTTGCGTGTCTCGCCATAACTGGAGCAATGTCAACTACACCTACGGGAGCCATGGAGACCATGCTGGACCTAACTCCTCTCCACATTGTGTTGGAAAAGGAGGCCAGAATGGTCTCCTACAGGCTCCTCAAAGTGGGTAGTCAATGTTACGAAGAACTGCGGTGGGACAAGACGGGGCTGGTGAGTGAAATCAATAATCACCCCATCCTCGGCATGGTCTCGGACTCGCTAGTTCCCCGACAGCACATAGAAAAGCCATACAGCGTCCTCATTCCAGAGAGAGACGCATGGAGCAAAGGGGAAAAAACCCTCTTCCAGGCAGACTATGCGCTGTACACGGACGGCTCCAAAACTGAAAAAGGAGTAGGAGCGGGAGTTTTCGGCCAGAGGCCTAAAGTTGACATATCAATAAACCTAGGCTCTCTGGCCACGATCTTCCAAGCAGAAATGATTGCTATAGAATTGGTAGCGAGAGAGTTGATTAATTTTCTCCCCGCAAACAAGACTATAAAGATCTTTTCAGATAGCCAGGCAGTCCTTAAGGCCCTGAGCTCCAATCGAGTTGACTCAAAGCTGGTTTGGAACTGTATAAATACCCTAGAGTGTCTCGGTGCCCGGAACAAAGATACTTTGGTCTGGGTTCCGGGACACAGTGGTGTGGAGGGAAATGAAAAAGCATACGCACTTGCTAAAAGAGGAACCGAATCTGTTTTCATAGGAGCAGAACCATTCCTGGGCATTGCAAAAAGCACTGCCAAAGGAATTATCTCAAAATGGACGGAGGGTGCAACACTCACGAACTGGAGAGATACCCCAAGGCTAACCCATTCGAAGGCGTTTATAAACAACCCTTCCATGAACGCCTCTGCTCAGATCCGAGAATGGAGTAGGAGAGATCTACGCATTTTCACTGGACTGATGACAGGACACTGCCGTCTGGGCAACCACATGAGAAGGATAGGTCTGCAACAAACATCGGACTGTCGATTCTGCAGCGTGGAGGACGAGTCTGCAGAGCACATACTATGTACCTGCTCCGCTCTGGAAAGAACCAGGTTCCAGATCTTCGGATTTACCCGACTGGAGCCTACCGACTTTAGAGAAGTCTCACCCAATTCAACCATGACCTTCATCAAAAGGTGTGGCTTGTACGGTGAACTATAAGTTAGTTATGAGCCACAATAGACCCATCTGGGTCGCAGTGGAGGGCGATGAGATCATCCCACTCATTTTCAACCTAACCTAACCTTTATAGAAAGACATAACATTAAATATACTGATACAATAAAACTTCTAGGGTACCGGCCCGACTTAGTAGGTTCACTATTGTGTATCGATATCTGTAGTCAAGCAGGGTCGCCCGCAGTTAATACTTGGATGTGTAAGGAAAGTCGGCGTACCTATAAAAGCCCTAGTCCCGAGCCCATGAATGTTGGGCTCGTTTCAGTGATTCAGACACAAATCATTTATGGAATAATAGGAAGTGGAGGTATAAATGACTGTCACTTAGAATAATGACTATTGTAATGACTTATCCATGCTTGTCCATGTACACATTTTACCTGAGATCAATTGTACAGGGTGTCTGATTAAGGGCTCTTGGCGGCTGGATCTCAGAAACTATTTACCCTACAGCTTTAAAAAAAAAAGTATAACAAATTCGGTCCAGAGAAAATGCTGGAAAATTATTATTAACTTTCTATTTTAACCGTTAGAGGGCGTAATTCTTTATGGTAATGCAAAAAATCAGTTTTCATCTATATTATTGGACATTAAATGTCCAATAATGGTATGATAATAATAATAATAGATCGGTAGTTTTGTACAAATTCCACAAAAGTTTTATCCAACACTATTTGTTCTATTCAATAAAATAACTGGTAGGGGCGATTGTGAACCTTAATTTAATAAAATTATTATAACTACGGTGCCGTTCATTAGATTTTGAATAACGTAGTATCGATTAAAAGCAAATTGATTGTTCAGTAAAATGTTTTAATATAGTTCTGATTCAGTTGTTTAAACGAGCACTAGGTGGCGTTGTTTAAACATTCACCATTGTTTCGAAGTTTTCTTGAAAATTTTAAATGTAGGTAATGTTGTAATTTTTATAAGTTATTTAGAAAGAGAATTAAATTCTGACAAAAAACAGTAAAGACCGGATCTTATTATTATTATTATAGCGAAAGTCTATTAATGGTGAATAGTCCACCTAGATATTAATAAATAAAATTCTTTATATATTAATCTAGTTGGCTTTAATACACGTCAGTAATTCTTCGATAGCTTAGCTGCAGAGATAAACACACAAAATTATTAAAATTCGATTTTAATGATCTCTTTAGTAAAAGATGACTGGTTTAATAAAACTAAAAATGTGAAATAAAAATTGAATAGGTATATTAATAAAATACAAAACAAGTAACTAAAAAAGAACAAAATAGAAAAGAAAACACCAATAGAGTACCCGATGCCTCACATAATTCTGACACATGTTAATAGTTTTTTTAATACTTTTATATTAATAGTATAAATTTCTTCATTAATCTAGTTGGCTTTTAAATGTCAATAAGCTTATGTCAAATGAATATGTGTACAAATATATTTTATGAGGTCTTTTCCTTTGCATCGAAAGTGTAGCTCTGAGCTACACCACTTCTGAAAATATCGTTCCATTTATACAAATTGTATGGATAGAACGATATTTTCAGAAGTGGCGTAGTGCTCAGTGCTACACTTTCGATGACCGTCTGTGAAATTAACAATCAAAATGTGCATAATTAACACTCTTGAAGCCTGTCATGTACACAAGCAATGCGTTTATTTCAAGATATCTCGAAAACGGTTCTTACTATATTTTTTAAAAACTATTGTAATGTAAATCAAGAAGTTACAAAATTTTCTAAAAAACTCTGTATTTTTTGACCGTCTTGGTAAAAAGATAAAGAATTTTAAAATAAAAATTATTTTTAAAGCAGTCGACTCGTAGTGGCGTACAATGATTACAACTTGGCAACATTGTAATCTCTACATTTAACCAGAGGTAACTGAATTACACTCGATCAGCTAAGAGGTTATAACCACGCAACGTGTGTTTTTTTTAAATTAATTAGTACACTGTATTTGACAACTGGAATAGACGGTTCTGTTTGAACCAAAACAAACCCTTAAAATTGGTACGAGAAAGTCACAAATTTCTATAGCCCACCATTCATATATTTGCGACGTTGTCGGATGGATTTTACTTAAAATTTTAATATATCCGTCGTATATACATATAAGCTTACATGTGTTGTGTAGAGTCTCTTACAAAAATACAATTTTTAGCATTGAGAATCTCGAACTTTTGGTATTCACCAATTAATTATATGACGACCGTATTATGGTAAACGTACGTTAAAATTTGTCTGCTTGCGTTGTAGCTTTCTATTTGAACGTAATCGTCATACCACACGAGCGTGTTGTATTTTACTTAAAATAATTTTTATTGCTTTATTGCTTATTTTGGCTATAAAATCACTAAAAATAGTTGACTCTAAACTGTTAATTAGTGCAGTGGAAAACTAGTGAGTTTTCTGGGCCAGGACACTTCTCACGAAGATTATAAGAATAAGAAAAAGTAGCTTGGTTTTCAGTTGCTTGTATTTTATTCACTAACTTTAACAATGTACATCTTGTGGCAACGTACGTTTGTAAATACGTCATCCTGTGGCAACGTTTATAACGTCCGTTACAACGAACGTAAAATAAACGTCTGTCCCAGACCTAAAAGTTAAAAGTCCGGATCTGTTTTAATAGCAATATTACAAATCATTTGTGTATTCAACAGTTTTACCACAAGCTTGTCCTTCCTCTCTAATGAATTAACGATAACGTTGTCGTAGTCCAGTATTAGCATTCGCTGTCAAAAAACATTGATATTGCTATAAGTTGCAAATCAAAACAAGAATGAATTACTGATTTCTGTAGAAAATGAGTTTTTTTAATAGATATTTATATCAAGTGGTTTTCTGTGTATTATTTTTAAACCAGGTTAGTAAAATACCAATCTATACTTTTGGTAAGTTGTTTCTTTTATTGAGCTACCAGATCTATATAGTAAAATTTTGATAATGTATAGATAGATATCAACGGTATATTCTTTTTGTTTTAGAATAATTACAAACCAATTAATTTCTATATTAGTAGTTTCATTTTTCACGTTAAACTTGCAAAATTTCAGCGCTTTACAACTTTTAATTTTTTCGAATTTCTTGATCTACGGCCCCACCACTGTAATCGCGTCTCAGTTATACAGTGTTCGCATTAAAAATACACCCTTTGGGAAATAAGAACTAGACCAGAGACAATCCAGCGAGACGTGTAACTCAATGTATTTTTTTTGTTCGGTAAAAGTTATTTGGGCGATTGTAACCACAACCAGTCTATGATGGCGCCACTAGTAAATAGCGGGAAAATTAAAAATGCTTTAGGGCGGGAAATTCAAACATGGATTCAGAAATAAAGTTTTTCTATACAAATTTACAGGAGAAACAAAAACTATTGTTTCACTGTATATTAAAAAAATATAAAAGCTTCCAATAACATCAAATTTTTTATCACATAAATAATCATTTTAATAAAGGAAGTTTTAATCAGTTTAATATAAACAGTGAACATAGTTTTTATTACTCTTGTAAATTTCGCTAAAAAAAAAAACTTGAAAATTCTATTGATTATTAAATATTTAAACTTTGAAAAATAATACACCAAACTCTTTTTCTATAAATTATATTTTTGTAAGCTACAGAAAAACAAACTACAATTGCTTCCTTTAGAAAGTACCTCCTATCATTTTGTGACAAATTACAAAGAAAGTAACAGTTGTTATATATTCAAAATATATTTAAAAACTAATGTAACAAATATTTTATAAAGTATAGAGTATATCGATACCTTTTTGCCAGACTATCATAAGTGCCATTTGAACAAATGTCGCTTACATTAGTCTGGCAAAAAGGTATGGATATGTTATGACTGTTTATTTTAATAGAAACCATGGAAACGAAACACACATACACTCAACACAAATGTATAAGGCCCGAGTCAAGCAAGTTCCCATTAGCCCAATCGGATTAGTATTTTAGATTCTGAAAAATTCGAAGCAGCAATTTTCCTTCGGAATTCGTTGGAGGGGGTCTCTGGTAGTCTAAATTCAAAAAGTTGGGATTCCAAAGTTGTCGTTACCTCCGCCATCTTGATTTAAAGGGTTATTTTTTGTATCTTGAATAACTCATTTATTTTCAATTTTACACGGAAAATAGTTTTTACAAAAGTTATTTAAAATTAAATTTCCTACAATTCTGCTTTTTTTTTGGTACGATCGATTTTTTTCGATTTATACCCGAAAAGAGGGGGTGAATTTTTGGTTATAGAATAACTCGTTTATTTTCAATTTTACGAGAAAAATTGTTATAAAAAAAGTTGTTTAAAATTAAATTTCCTACAATTCTGCTTTTTTTTTGTACGATCGATTTTTTTCGATTTATACCCGAAAAGAGGAATTTTTGGTTATAGAATAACTCGTTTATTTTCAATTTTACGAAAAAAATTGTTATAAACAAGGTTGTTTAAAATTAAATTTCCTACAATTCTGCTTTTTTTTGTACGATCGATTTTTTTCGATTTATACCCCAAAAGGGGGGGTGAATTTTTGGTTATAGAATAACTCGTTTATTTTCAATTTTACGAGAAAAATTGTTATAAAAAAAGTTGTTTAAAATTAAATTTCCTACAATTCTGCTTTTTTTTGGTACGATCGATTTTTTTCGATTTATACCCGAAAAGAGGGGGTGAATTTTTGGTTATAGAATAACTCGTTTATTTTCAATTTTACGAGAAAAATTGTTATAAACAAAGTTGTTTAAAATTAAATTTCCTACAATTCTGCTTTTTTTTTTGGTACGATCGATTTTTTTCGATTTATACCCGAAAAGAGGGGGTGAATTTTTGGTTATAGAATAACTCGTTTATTTTCAATTTTACAGGAAAAATTGTTATAAAAAAAGTTGTTTAAAATTAAATTTCCTACAATTCTGCTTTTTTTATGTACGATCGATTTTTTTCGATTTATACCCGAAAAGAGGGGGTGAATTTTTGGTTATAGAATAACTCGTTTATTTTCAATTTTACGAAAAAAATTGTTATAAACAAGGTTGTTTAAAATTAAATTTCCTACAATTCTGCTTTTTTTTGTACGATCGATTTTTTTCGATTTATACCCCAAAAGGGGGGGTGAATTTTTGGTTATAGAATAACTCGTTTATTTTCAATTTTACGAGAAAAATTGTTATAAACAAAGTTGTTTAAAATTAAATTTCCTACAATTCTGTTTTTTTTTGTACGATCGATTTTTTTGTATTTATCCCTGAGAAGAGTGGGGGTGAACCTAAGTATTGTATTGTCACGTTTATTATTGATGTTGTACCATTATTTTTTCTGTTTGTTTTTTTTTTTGCTGATTTTCAAAAATGTTATTTGGTACAATTATGATTCCGATTTTTTCTAAGAGTTTACCCCCACTCTTCTCAGGGATAAATACAAAAAAATCGAACGTACAAAAAAAACAGAATTGTAGGAAATTTAATTTTAAACAACTTTGTTTATAACAATTTTTCTCGTAAAATTGAAAATAAACGAGTTATTCTATAACCAAAAATTCACCCCCTCTTTTCGGGTATAAATCGAAAAAAATCGATCGTACAAAAAAAAAGCAGAATTGTAGGAAATTTAATTATAAATAACTTTTGTAAAAACTATTTTCCGTGTAAAATTGAAAATAAATGAGTTATTCAAGATACAAAAAATAACCCTTTAAATCAAGCTGGCGGAGGTAACGACCACTTTGGAATCCCAACTTTTTGAATTTAGACTACCACAGACCCCCTCCAACGAATTCCGAAGGAAAATTGCTGCTTCGAATTTTTCAGAATCTCAAGCCTGTTCTTCACCTAATCCGATTGGGCTACATCCTGTAAACTGGATCGAAACCTGCTAGACCTTTGCTAACTCCTCTTATAGTAATCAAAATCAATATATTTATATGCCATGCCTTCTAAAAGGGAATGAAGGATGACATACTATCATCATTTAAACAGGACGTTGCTGAAGGCTTACCCCTGTTATTTCGTTTGTTTGTGTATCTTGTGTGTGTGCATTCCTGTTGTGTCCCCAGTCATGTAAAAGTTTTCCTTGTCTCCTAATGTGTTTACTAGGTGGACCTTCTCCAACTAGTAGTCTAATCTATTCAATCTGTTCGGAAGCAGGAGGTATTTTTCAAACATAGCAAATAATATTATTAATAATAAACACTAAATACATTTTTGTAATTTTTTTGTCATTGCCCCTTACCTTTCTCTTACACCACCAGGGTATACCTATTTTCCATATTCCCTTAATTATAGATTACCTTACAATGTTCGAATGAATATAACATTTTACTCATGAAAAATCTAATTTCATATTTAACTCTTTTTCAATTTTATTCGAAACAATAATTGGTACCTATATTACAATTTATTATCAAAGTTATAGCAAATCCTACTTAAACTACTGGTTGTTCTGCAGGATAAATTAACTTTTCTTGAGATTGATCTCTCTATAAAATCCAAAACCACCCTGATGTCCCCAAATTTATTTTCCAATGCATCCTGATTTAAAATTCTGCCCTTTTGTGATTCAATTTTTTTTTTCTTCCTTTAGAGTGGCTGTTAGAGGTAGGTGTATGTAAGAAATAGCTAATCTCTAATCATTTCAAAAGTCCTTTGCCAATACTACATGTGCAGATTTTTTACTCAGCATACATTTTACTTTTCTAGTAGATAGGAACTTTGTGCTGCCATTAAAGCTGTCCAGACATTCATCTACCTACTTAATGAACACAAGTAGCTGTAACAATGGATCTCTGTTCCAATTCACCTAAAATAATTATAGTCATTATTAAACACACACATTATACAGTGGTTTTCTTAATAAATTGGAAATTACTTACCTCTAGAAAGAAATGTGTACAAAAACGCGAGTTTGGTTCCAGAAATTGCTTCATGCAAAAAATAATATGCAAAAATAAACATTCCCCCCCAAAGAAAATTAATTAAACAACAAAATCAGACTAAAAGAAATATACGGGGCCTAAATTAAATTAATTTTAATAAAATGCACATGTTCATAACAACATTCATAACATTGTCAGTTGTCAGTTTTAATACTTAATCGATATTTCTACGTCAAAAAACCAGCAACATCAGCGCCCTCTGAAAATGGTGTTAGTTTTATTGGAGAGAGATAGACATATGTAAAGATCAATGTAAAAGAAAAAGAGGGTCATATATGTAATTTAAATGGACCACCGAACATATTTTCCTATTAAGTTACACGTCTCTGTTGTCTCTGACTAGACTAAACTTCTGATTAATTGACGGAGAGCATTTTTTCTTATCGATTTTCAACGGAAATTATACGTAACAAACTAGTGGTAACTTTGATTTCATTTACAAACATCAGCCGATTTTGAGCGCTCTCATTCCCTTAATTGTCAAATTACCGACTCGAACAAAAAACTATGAAAAGTGTATTTTTTTAGGGAATGCTATTTTTAATAGTTATTTATGCAACAAGTGCAAAAAGTAAGTGTTTATTGCCCGCGACGTGCAAAAACCAAAAAATGTTTTATTTAGGTGACACTTGAAAATAATATAAAATATGCAATTGTTTTTAAAACGTAATACAATCTCACAGACAATGAAAATGGACTAAATATTTGGCGTCGATTTGAATATTTATGTTTGTCATGATCATAAAACGCTGTAGTAAAATGACAGATGAGTGCAATAAAATTCTTATAGCACTAGTGCAATAAAGAACCAGTTTTTTTTACTAAATATAGTTCAATAAAGTTTAGTTTTTGCATGAACGTAGAAAAAAAAATTTAATACAACCATCTGTTCGGCCCATAGTGCTCGCGAAATGAAAGCAGTGCAAAACATAGGAGCGTGGCCTTCAACGACAAGACATGTCTCTCTTTAGGGCGCTCTAGTAGAGGGTAAACTATAAATACTAGAGTAGTACTCTCAAGGGTTTTTTGTGTTACAAATATCTTCTAGATAAAGACTGGAATAGTAGTTTGTGCAACAAGAGTGGATATGCTGGCCATATCGCATGAAGACGAAATTTGAGCACGACGCCGTAGGCGAAGTGCTCAATCGTCTGAGTGCGATGTGGACAATCCACTCGAGTTGTATAGTATATTTTTTCTACCACCCACTAACGAAAATTTACAAATAAAAAAAAATATTTTAGGGTATTAAGACAAAATAACTAATTTTAAAATAATTTATGACTTTTAATAATTTTTAAAATAAAATAAACGAAAAAAAAAAAGAAAAAGTTCATTTTATTTTTCCTCGTCCGAGAATCGAACTACAGTCCTCCGCGTGGAAGGCCAGAACGCTGACCACAGGACTACCTATTCTTTTATATTTTTTTTTGCTTTAATATTCGTAATTAAATTGACTTCATATAGTTTTATTTAAATTAACAAATTATTTATAATATAGACGAAATAAAAACAGAAATGCTATTATTTATCGATTCTACGCAAGAATAAAGCCATTTTAATGTATGTTTAATCTCAATAACTAAAAAATATACTGTCAATTAGTTTGACAGAATTGTCACTTATTTAAAATTTTAAAAATAATAGCAGTCGGTTGATCAAAATATGAACGGTGATTGGTGGATTTCATTTTTTTGCAGTGTTCTTACTACCTAGAATGGACATGAAATATATTCGTTCTGTTGAAGGCAATAGCATACTTTTTCGTTCTGTAATCTGTGCGTAGATAAGCTAATATCCATGTGGGCGCAGAAAATTTTTTTTTTCATTTTAGACTGTTTGCGCAGCGTTCTCAAAAAATGCAAGCCATATAGCTCAGGAGGAATTTTTGTTGAAGTATATCAATTTAGACCAACACAGCAATTTTTAGCTTTATTCTAATATTTTACAGGTAAATCTACCCTATCTCCTGACCTAGGAGTGATTATGTGGCTTCTGTGTGCAAATTTTAGACTTTTTTTGTTAAGAAACCATTTTCAAATTTATTGTTTGAAACGTAGGTATTGCATTTTACAACAGTTACGTTCGTCCTATTTTGGAGTACGCAGGGCCTGTGTGGTATCCAGATCTTATTCGGGATTAAGACGTGCTAGAAAAATTCAACGATGTACTAACTAGCAGACTCTCCTTTCGTTCGACCCGCATTCAAGGATTGCTTAGAAATGGGAATATTACCACTTTGCATTAACGATGTTTTCGAGGTGACCTCATTCTTATTTTTTGAATTATGAATTGTAATTTTGGTGAACTAAAATCAGCATTTTCATTAAATACCGACACCCATCTTCGAGGATATTCACTAAAGTTAAAGAAATAAACTTTTCAAATGCAGAGCAGATAACGCCGTCTAAGTAGCAAAATTTTTGAGAATTGGAAGAATTTTCCCCAACAATAGATGCACCAAGTATTAATTCCTATAAAAATAAAATAGATTTAGGTACATACTTAATAGAAACAAATTCTTATTCGACATATTTATTATTATTATTTTTCTCTAATCGTTTTGTTACTTTTTTTTACATTCTAATTTTAATTATTGTTTTTTGCTTTTTAAAACAGTTTATTTAATGTTATTGTCTGTTAATTTATATAGATCGATCATACTATTCCTCATAAAAATAATACTCTCCCTAATTCACCCCCTTACGAGTGAATTTTAACCCCAAAAGCTGAGCTTGTGCGGGGAAAGGGACGGCTATTATTATTATTTGCCGTGGCGCTCCGGGGCAACTTAAAGATGATTGATGGTGCCATTTGACTTACAGGTGAGGAAAACCCGGAAAACCTAACCCACCATCATCGAGACGGTAATGCATGGCGATTTTATAATCTGCATGTCATATCAACAGAAATGGAATTTCTATTAATACGGCACACATCAAATCCTATACCGAACCATGCAATTTAATTAAAAATCCACATGGTCTGGTCTGGGATTCGAAGCCCTGCAGTCTCGGACCATAAACTTGCCTATCAATGAATATAAGCGCGTTAGACTGGTAAACCACTGACCCGATAAATAATATAACCCAGACAGCACACCAAATCCTTTGGATATCTACTGAACATCCCAATATCCACTGAATGTCCAGTCCATGGTAGATATCTATTTTATATCCATGAAATGTAATTTATAGACATGCAAATTTCCATAAATAATAGTAATTATATAGCAAATTATTAAAAAATTACGCCATTGTGCTCGCCATTAGAGACTGGAGTCGAGAATTTTCATTTATTGCTAAAGAGTCCTAATAAGGATGACTTTCTCCTTAATGAGCAAAATCAAAGGCAGAGTGTTGAAAATATTTTTTATCTCTGCTATTTTCTTTCGACGTTATTCAATAATCATTGGTTACTTATGAACATCTACTAAAGATACCCATAAAATATTTTGCTGAATATCCGAATATCTTCTATATCCTGGGATATAGACGGACATTTGGTTGGATATCCATATTGGATATATTGAATACCCACAAAATATATTCTGTGAATATTTCTGGGATTTCTTGTATTTTCTGGAAGATACCCATTAGATATTTTGCTGAATATCCATTAGGATATCTTTATATTCTGGATATAGACGGACATTTGGATATCCATATTAGATCCACGGAATATTTCTGATATCCTGTGGATATATTGGATATCCACAAAAGATGTTCTGTGGATATCTCTGGGATTTGGTGTGTTGTCTGGGAAATGTACTTCTGATCTAAAATATACCAGGATTAATACCGTAACGTTTATGTATTTAAAACTGTTTATTATTATTTATTTATTATTATAATTTATCTGAAATACTTATTTTTATGTTAGCAATATTTACATTTCAAATAATTCAACTTTCAAATACTCGTATACTAATTGATATTGACAATTTTATTTATCTTTACCCAACAAAATCTATCTATCAATTAAACCCAAACGAAAAGTTCGTCTATTTATATAAAAATCATGATTCCTATACTTTCCTTATATCTGTATGCAGATAGGAAAGTAAAAATGAGGCGGGAAAAGTTAGGGCCGTAAAAAGCATAAATAAGGCAGAGGGACTTAAGGGATGAGAGCATGACTGGACTGTTCGAAAATAGCTTGCAGGACAATACGATAGGCATAGCTAATTTCAACATTGTAACGTCTAGCTAAAATTAAAGTCTGAACTGCACAGAATAGTTGTAGAAAAAAGATTAGTATTCAACTAGCGGTAATAGCCACATTACTATCTACTTGTTGAATAATTTAATAACAGCCATTTGTCAATGCATTAAAAGATGATTAACGTTTCGCAATTTTTTTTTTCAAATAGTTGAAGCATCACTAAAAATGCAAAAAAATTGAAATTCCGAATAATTAAAAAAAATTTCGTTTTAGATATCTGTGATTGTAAACCAATGTATGAACAATGAATTTAGCATGTCAGATGAGGAAGATAATGGTATTTTATCGAAATATTTAGAAAAATTGGAATTTTATAGTGGTCTGTCCAATATCAAGCCGTCTATTATTGTGAACTGTCAAATTCCACAATGTGTTGTTAACTCGCAAGGATCTGCCATTTGGGAAGCAAGGTAAGAAGCAAAATGTATTTCTTAGGAAACATTATTTGAGTAATACGTTGAGCAAACCGGACCTCTCGCGAAAGCAAAAATATTTTCTAATATAAAATTGTATATTTATGCGTGCCACTGGGAATACTTTGTGATGTTATGTGTCTCGAGAATATTGAGAGCTTTAAATTTATTTAACGACAAGGCAGCACTGTAATTAAGGAAATAAGGTGGGAAACCCTCCCATTTAAAAACTACTAGATATTTATTAAAACAAAAAGCATCAAATGTAACAACCAGGTAGCCTAAAGACCCATTTATAACAACTGATGGGTCTTTAGCTACTAAAAATAAAAATAATTAAAAAAATAAAAACAAAATAATCCCCTAATAGCGTAGTCGAGCGACTTTGGCAACTAGTCAAACTATCATTCTTCATAAATGGTTTTGGAAAGGGGAAGAGAGAATAATAATAAGTATTAAAACAGTAACATAGGTATGTATATTTAAAATGATTACAAAATGACTAATAGTCTCAAGAATTAATAATAAATCTATATTTATGGAATAAATATTAAAATAAATGAATATTGATAAATATAAGATATACGTAAGATATATAAATTTGGGATAAAAATGTAAAAATTGGCATTTATATGCAGATCAATTAATTATCTCAAAACAAAACCCAAACAATATGTTAAAATAAATTAAAGATATTTACGTATAGTACATAAATCGCTGCACAAAACTTTACACATTACGGTGTTTCGGCAAGAGTTATGGACCGCAGTCCTTACTCGAGTTTTTCCAACTTCTGTCCTTCTGCTATAAAATTGCTAATCGATGGATTTTTCGTTTTTTGCTGGCAATGAAATAATATGCTCCTAGATGTCTATATCATTAAAAAAATTCCTTTGCATGCATTTTCTGAGGGTCTGGTTTTGCTATTTCCCTGTAGCGATTTCGGTCACGTGGATATTCGTGGTTTTCAACAAAATTCGGGATATATCTTAAAAGCGGGTTTTTTGAATTTAAGATGATATTGCAAGCATTTTCATTGTCAGCGACGTTGGTTAATATGCAAAAAATGTAACTTTGAAATAAGTGTAAAATCGGAACCAAAAGTCGAAAAGTGGTTTAAATACTCTCAAAATGTTTCTATGATTTTCAACTAAGAATATTGCTCTTGCAAACATTTTTTGTTCTTTAGTTCTGTCCCATTCGCCATAAATGAGATTATTATGACATTTTTTTCTAGAAATCCCGGGGCAAACAGAAGCTTGAATGGATGAACTATAATCTAAAAATCTAAGAATCTAAAAATATTTGAATGCTCCTAACATGTTTGTATGACTCTTTGGGTTTTTTTTTAAATTTTTTTATTTAGCCGTTTTACTCTATTTAACCTCTTATTCACCCCGAGTTTTCGTAAAAAATGTGTCAAAATAGTTTAATTTATGACGAATGAAGTAAAACTACTAAATAAAAAATGCAGTAGTCTTAGTTGAGAGTTATACAAATATCTTGAGAGCAATTAAACCACTTTTTGATTTTTGGTTCTGATTTTACACCTATTTCAAGATTAAATTTATGAACTCATGCTCGGGCTCAAAAAATGCTTGCAATATCATCTTAAGTTTAGAAAAATCGTGTTTAAACTATAGTTAGAATTTCCTTGAAAAACATAAATATCTGGTGGCCCAAAATCCCTACATAGGAAGTAGCAAAACCCGACGACAGAAAATGCATGCAAAGGGATTTTTTGAATTATTATAGACGCCTAGAAGCATACTTAATTGCCAGCAAAAAAAAGAAAAATCCAACTATAAGCAACTTTGAATTTCACAGGTCACACGACAGCTCCCACAACCGGGACATAGAACATATTGTTCACCATCCTCTTTTATACCCAACTACAGGGATCAGGGAAATAAAAATAGGAAACGCCAACCACCGCAGCAACGACCGTGTCATCTACGCAGCTCAGATGTTAACTAAAGTATATTTCGTTTTTAGAGATAGACAGTAGACAGTTTGTAAAAATAAATGTCATTAGCTTTATATTTACTGTAGAATCCGGAATTTAAATTTTAAATGTATGATTGGTTTATATTGTAATGTGAACCAAGCGAATTGGTTGTGGTTGTATTTAAGTGGAATTCCAGGTATGTATTGCATTAGTAACATGCCACATGAATTACATTTAACAACCCCATTCTTTAATTTACCAAAGAAAGATATAGGCATGTAGCCATTTTTGGCATAAATGATTTATTTATTGGTTTAGAGCAAGAAATGGTTTTAAAACGTTGGGAGAGATAATTTGATACAAGAAGAAATGTATCTGAATTCCCATTACTGAATTTGCAGTCAACATTTCAAATCTGATTAGTTTCAAAGAACTTATCCAAGAATAGTTCTAAAAAATGAGTGCAGTGCCTGTCGAGGTGCCATTATATTATTAACATTAGTAGTGACATTCTATCCCTTTATTTATATTCTTAGAAAGCATACAATTTATTTATATTAACACTTTTAAAAATGATACCTTGAGCCACTCTTTTGGAAAATAAGAACAAAAATGTTAAAGTTACAACAAAAATTAAAAAAACATTCATGAACAGATTTACAACAATAATAAATCGATAATGGACTGTAGTATTTTTTTTATAAATAATTGACCGTAATTTACATTGTTTAAATATCGAAATGCCTTAAAACAGAAGTTAGACAAATTGGTTTGCGTGTTATGGTATACATAACTCGTTACAAGTCTACCTACATTTGTGTTACTGTGTGTGTTGATAAAACATTTTTAAAATTTGGTAAACTATGAGTAACCGTTCATTGTATTAGCAAACTAAAGAAATCCGAGTTTGACAGATAGTTCAGTAACTGAAGGCACCAACCTGTCATTAAGTCGGTCCAGATTTCCATTGTGGCTCAACTCTTAGGTCTCGGCGGTCGCTTCCAAGTTCGAAAACTTTTACCAACTCTGCTGCGTCGGAAAGGGCCCAAAATGGACCCTAAAACTGGTTTTCCGCCTATATCTTCCACAATATGCAAATTAGAAAATTTTTGTTCAGATAAAAAAGAATGATCTTATCATTATCTACAAAAATGGTCCCTATCATTTTTGTCGGGAATTCTACAGGTTTCCAGATAACCACAATCAAAAGTCCCTGCTTTACCTCTATAGTAATGCTGATTAGCTTGTAAACGGGTGGACAAACTGTTTCAGAACTCGATCAAAAATTGATATTTTTCGATGATTCAAAGTTCATTACAATGGGAAAACCCACAGGTATCGATCCATGTGCCTTGAAGCCCGTTATTTCCTGTCAAGAACATTGAAAAAGGGGTCAAAATTGCGTTTTCCCACTATTTTGGACCACTTTATAGTAATTCATTCATATTTTTTTCTTTTAATAGTTTTTTATCCAATTTTTGTTTTAAGTAGGATCTTGAGATGTCTCGAGTGATTTCAGAAATTTTTTTCCAGTATCTTCCAAAATTGATTTGTTTATTTGCATTTTTCATACGTTTTCGGAGTTCTAGAAATCTCTGAAACAAGCAGTAATTAAAAACTCATATTTCATTATATTATTATTCAATGTACACCATTTTAAAAAAATACATTCGAAAAGTAGACACTCTAAGCTTTAAAATGGTGTGCATTGAATAACAATATAATGAAATATGAGTTTTTAATTACTGCTTGTTTCAAAGATTTCTAGAACTCCGAAAACGTATGAAAAATGCAAATAAACAAATCAATTTTGTTTTAAAACGCCAGGAAGATACTGAAAAAAAATTTCTGAGATCATTCGAGACATCTCAAGATCTCATTTAAAACAAAAATGGGATAAAAACTATTAAAAGAAAAAAAAAATATGAATGAATTACTATAAAGTGGTCCAAAATAGTGGAAAAAACGCAACTTTGACTCCCTTTTCAATGTTATTGATAGGAAATAACGGACTTCAAGGCACATGGATCGATATCTATGGGTTTTCCCATTGTAATGAACTTTGAATCATCGAAAAATATCAATTTTTGACCGAGTTCTGAAACAATTTGTCCACCCGTTTACAAGCTAATCAGCATTGCTATAGAGATAAAGCAGGGGCTGAACGAGGGGACTTTTGATTGCGGTTATCTCGAAACCTGTCGAATTCCCGACAAAAATGATAGAGACCATTTTTGTAGATAATGATAAGATCTTTCTTTTTTATCTAAACAAAAATTCTCTAATTTGCATAGTGTGGAAGATATTGGCGGGAAACCAGTTTTAGGGTCCATTTTGAACCCTTTCCGACGCAGCAGAGTTGGTAAAAGTTTTCACCCTTGAAAGCAGCCATCAAGACCTAAGAATTGAGCCACAAAGGAAATCCTGGACCGACTTAATGACAGCTTTGCATATTTTCAGGTCTTCAGTTACTGGACTAAGAGCATAAGTTTTGTCTGTCAGATATTATTTTCAAACTATAATTAACATTGCAAATGTCAGCATACTATACAGGGTGTTCCAATGAAAAGTAGCCCATTTTCAGAGCTTATAACTTTTAAACAAATCGTAGAAACGTGCGATTTTTGCTGATATATGTTATTTTGCTATTAATTTTGCTTCAGTGACACAGAAATTATGTATTATCTATACAGGGTGTTTTTTTAAAAAATTCCTTTTTTAAATTCACCGTAACCAAATTTTATCAAATGGAAACGGGCTACTTTTCATTGGGACACCCTGTATATAATACTATCCATTTAATTTGATTCTTATAAAGAAATAGCAGGCAACCTTGCAACCTTGTCTAGTGGTCAATATTTTTGTACTGTAGAATCCGATTACAATAAGAACACCGCCACGTCATAACCATTACTTCGAATTTCCAATACATAGTATCTATTACAATCAATAAATAAATAATAAGTTGTTGTGTATATAAAAATATTCCCTATATTTGAATAATATTAAGAGCGTACGTACAATTTTTCGGGTATAAGAGTTTCAATAC